GGGGGGGGGGTGTTTGAACACCCCCCTTGTGGTTTTTCGCGAATATCTCAAAAACGGCGGCGCGGAGCGCCGCCGTTTTTGGTACACTTATCATACATCAATTCTACACATGTTGTGAAAATTTCAGACCAAGGTCATTCAAGGTCAGGTCACCAGGTCACTTGAAGTGACCTCACCTCATAAAAAGTTTCAATGTCTGTCATAGCTACACCGAGTGACCGATCGCTTTGAAACTTTCAGCGATTGCTAAGAGCAATAGCATGTACAAAATGTATATCTCAGAATTTTGATATCGATGACCTAAGGTCAGGTCAATTTTGCGACCTCCCCATTATAAGTCAATGGGAGAAAATTGAAATGCGCCTCTTTTGGACGAAAGACATTATAAACACTCCCAAACACTGAATTACAAGTGGTTTAGACACACTGAACATGAAAATGGTGTCCGTGACCCCTGTTTATGCCCTGAGGTCATCTTAGGTCACGAATGGTATCTAACAGTTTTTCGCAAATAACTTTTGATAGAGGCATGCTAGAGCGATGAAAACGCCTTAGTTGTGTTCAGCTTGACGATACGGATCGACTGATATGCAACATGACCCTTTCCGGTCAGGTCATGACCTTGACCTGAGGTCAAATTTTCAAGTTGACCTTTCAAGGTCAAGTTATAGTTCATTCGATGCGTCTTGACGAGAGGAATACGATGCCGGTAAAAGTAAGCTCGTACAAGGCTTGGGTCAAAAGTTATTGCAGAAAAACTGTTTCCGAAAAAATCGGCTATTTTTGCAGTTTTTGCCCCCTGCAGGCAAAACCGTCGACGTTAGGTCAAATCTGAGAGAATTATCCAGAAAGGGCGTTAATAGGGCTATCGAATGCGCTTTTCCGCGGCGCTGTAGCTCTATTGGTTCCCGAGTTATGCGTTGGCTTCTTGGAAATTGTCGACATTCGACCTGGAAATCGGCGAAATTTTGCCTTCAATGACCTCTGGTGACCTGACCTTTGACCTGACCAAAAAATTGACCGAAGTGATTTCCTCATTATTTTTGACGCTCTTTCGAACGCCGCGTTCCGCGTATCGCTACGTGGCCCAGGAGCCGAGTTAGAGGGGGGGGGGGGGTGTTCAAACACCCCTCCCCCCCCCAGCAGGGCGTGGAAATCCAGGACCCCCAGCAGGGCGCGGGTTAACATTAGCCCTATGGGCGTTGCATAGGAAGAATGGGACTAAAAGTCGGCAGTGCCCCCCCCCCCCTTAATTGAAGGTGTTCCGCCGCTACTGGTGTCATGTGACGTCACGCGTACCCGTCGGCTGCCTCGCGCGCGCACGCGATGATCAGCTGTTCGGGAAGCTCGCGCCCATGCACCGACGATCTTCTGTCGCTTGTAGCGCCCCCTCACGGTCTCCCGGCCCGACGCGTCAGCCAATGGCCATTAGAGCGCCGGCAGTGTGGCTGTGTGGTCGTGCGTTGGATTGCTGCGATTATGGGTGTCGTCCATTCAATCATGGCTGGGTTTATTGGTGGTGGTGAGCAACGTGAACTCACTAAGGAGGAAATAATTCGAATCAGAGAGACGCATTTAAGGTAAGTGGAATTGACCCGACTCCCCGCTTGGCACGGAGCCAATGTGGTCCTGACCGACTTAGAAGAGGTGTGTTGGAACGGTTTGAAGCTCGCCTGCGGTCCTGATTTTTTTGTTAACAGATGTTAAGTAGAATCAGACTGATTCTACTTAACATCTGAATACATAGGTAACATCTGAATACATAGGTATTCATTGCCACACTGAGTGTGGCAATGAATACCTATTAAAATCACATAACGCTGCATGGGCATTGGAGAGCAAGATTAGGGTAAAGGTCAGCTCACGGTACCTCTTTCATAATTAACTGCTTTAATTGTCTCTCCCTCAGAGGCGTCGTCGTTCAGTGGGCTCGAGATTCCCAATCGCGCGGTATCCAGCCGCGTCCGTTTTCTGCGAAATCATAAAAGGACATTTCAAATCGAGCGCGTTTGCGCCGCCAGGCGTCGGCACTCGCCTGTTTCTGGAAAGTTCCGCCGGGTGCCAGACAGATCGCGTGTCAGTAGCCATTGTCTCGGCTGCCATTAGATGAAGATGAGATAGCCGATGGCCCACCTCGGCTGTCGACAGCTCTCAGATTCATTTAGCATCACAATCAATTGTATCTACGGATTCTTTCACGTAAAATAAATCTTGCGTCAGCAGATTCCCCCTCCCCTACAAATACCTACCTGATGCTGAAGTGAATAGCCCTGTCTGGCGTGGCCAGCACTGTGGACATTCTTCAGGCACCGTCCTGGTCGGTAGTATTTGGCCTGGACAAAGCCAGCGGCTGAGAACGCACGCACCAGAGCCCACAGACCACGTGGTGTATTGATCTGTGCGGTCCAGCCCGCCGCCAGGGCCCTAGCCACTGCTCCGGAACATCGAGAGGAGACACTGCCATCACGTGACGTTTTTAATCAGCTGTCTTCCCCCGGAGACGGGGGGTTATTGATTTCTGGGGGGGGGGGGGGCGGCACCTGGTCGACCCGGTCGCGGTCTGGTGGTCAACTGTCACAGCGCGCCACGCGTCGGGAGCGGAGGGGGGGGGGGGGTGGAGGGGTCCAGGGAAACGATGACACCGGACTCCGGAGACACTGCCATTGATCGCAGTTCTGTCGCATCTGATGTCCTATGCCTGGTCTGGATTTAACCCTCGAACTTGACCCTCGCTGGAACTATCGGTTCTTAGTGATATCGAAACATAGGATAGGAGCTATCCTAGGGGTTATCCTATACCTTTTATATATTATCCTATGACCTATACCGAGGCGCAGGAACGGCTTTGAATGCTATGACACGTATATTTTTGATAGATGGAATGCGGTATGTGTTGAGAGTAAATAATATAACCACAAAACGCTGCATTGATGAGCAAGATATAATAGAATGGTATGTTACGGCGACAGGGCCGAGAATGCAGCCGAGACATTAGCTGTGGTTACAGTTCTTGTCGCTAGGTGGCAGCAGGGGTCGACGCCTGAAAGCAGACTGTGCCGCATCGCTCGTGCCTTGTATGACTCCGCGGCCGCCAAGCTGTTTTCTGCACACCGCAGGTAGTGTTGTGGTCGCTGCCACAGACCACAGCCAATGTGCTCCAACGCTCAGCTGAAGCATTGTGTGCGTGCTGCGATTCAAAGCTATTTAATCCTTGGACGATTTCTTTTTCCTTTTTAGGGATGGTGATGGATGGTCGTTCATCAATGCAGCGTTTTGCAGCGATATTATTTAATCTCAACGCATACCGCATTCCATGTGACCTTGGCGATGGCGATGGAGCTGTTAAGAGACCTAAAAGACCCCTGATCGCTTAGGCGTCCGGCTGTCTTATCAAATATGAAAGGTTGACAGACGTAACGTACTGTTAATTTTGAACTTCCCATCCCATTTCCCATCGAATTTTACGGAAAACTCTAAACCTTTGCACTTACAGGTGTGTGTACGGGGGGGGGGGGGCTTCCCATCTCTGAGATTATGTATTTGCTCATATTTAAGCGAAAAAAGCAGCCAATTGCGACGATAGTTACAGTTCTCTAGGTTTAGATAATTTCACAGACTATGAAAAGCTCCTGACCCGGCTCCCAATAACCCTTGAGCTGCGGCTTGCTTCTCGCCTTCTCGAGAACATGTCATGTCGGATTGCGGTACGTCTTAGGTCGGTGCACATTTTCCCTATATTTCCAGACATTTTGTGATAGGAAACATTCTAACATGTGACATGATGTTGGTCCCATGCATTATGATGGGTGTCAAGGTCACTTAAGGTCGGGTCAAACCAAAGCCATTGACTTTTGGTGGTCTTGGGGAACTTTCTCATGGCCTACCGGACACCTACTGGTTAACCTGACCTGACCCGACCCGACCTACTCCAAATGCATGAACTTATCATTTTTGACCAAACTAGGTACTATGAAAGACGGAATCAGGACCCCGAACAATCCAGTAGCAGCCTCGCTTTAAGAAGTGCCACCATATCCTGATATTCCAGGTTTTTTTCTCGGTCATTCATCTCACCTGGAAGCTAAAACCAGTGGCGCGGGAACTGGGGGGGGGGGGGGCTAGCGGGGGCTGAGCCCCTCCAACTTTTCGGCTGGTGGGGGGGGGAGCTCGTAATGTACCTATTTGAGCCTACAGCTGGAGGAATCGAAATCGGAAATCTACCAATATAATTTCATAGATTCATACGTAGGCGCGGGAACCGGGGGAGGGGGCAGTGGGGGAAGCTTGCCCCCACAGCTCTGGGGCCGTTGGGGCGGTGCCCCACAACTTTTCATGAGGTCAGGAACCGTTGGGGCAGCTTGTCCTCCCCAAATTAGGGGTTGTGGGTCACAAAGGAAGAAAGCATGTAAGTGAAAAATCCACCTCTTTCACTGGCTCGGCAACTCATTTGGCAGATTAAAACCTTTATTCCAGGTTGCCAAAACGGTAGTTTCTTCACTCAGCTGAGACGGAATACCTGACTTTTTGCAAATATTTTTTTTTTGAAAAGGCCAAGGTCTGAAAAATAAGTGGCCTAAACCCGGTGAGAAAACTAGATTTGGGGGTACCCTAGGTTGATCTATTATGGTTCAGCCCCCCCCCCCCCCAGTCTGGAATAAGTTCCCGCGCCACTGGCTAAAACCATGACTAAGTAGGTACAGGTCTCGCGGGTTTTAACGGTAGCTTTTGCACCTAGAAAATTTAGTGCACTTCAGGCTATATCTTCGTCGTCTTAATTAAGCCTTTAAGTGTTGAATATGCGATCGACTTGGTGGTTCACAAGCCGACCATGATCGTGTAAAATGGCTTCGTCGTAGATCGATTAGTTTCTAAGATATAACCGGAAATGTAAAAGTGCAAAACCTACCGCTTAATCTCGCGAGAGTCGTACCTTAAAATTGGGTGTTGCCCTCTTATCACTACTTCTAGTTCTGTTTGTGACTTTGCTCACTTTGTTGCAGCTCTGCAAATGAGATGTTTTTCAAAGAGGACCCTCTTATGATCATGCGTGGGGAAGGCGCCTTCCTGTACGACGAAAAGGATAACGGATACCTGGACTGTATAAACAACGTATGCCACGGTGAGCTCTACTTTCTGAGTGGCTGGTTTTGGTCATAGGCCTCTTTATGCCAGCCTATGGTTGGTATACAGAGGTCTCAGATTAGACTGGTCATGGGTTAAACGTCGTGTGCTGTAGGTAAACTAAATGCTAACAGGACCTATAATCCAAGCGGTGACTGAACTGAGCGAAAGACCTGGTGGCTCGTCGCAGCATCGTGCTCTAGGTTTATAGCGAACTTCCGTTATTTAAAATGTCACTTCTTTCGTGGCTTTAAGCCGGAGTAAAATATTGTAACCGCGGAGAGGATAGCACTTTGTCTAATAGTCGAAAAGCCGCATAGTTAGTCCAACTATTAATCATTTTCTGAAATCAATGCGAACTGGTATGCGTATAGGTAGATATATCATATACAAACAGTTGGGAAAAGGTAGCTTTCATTGTTTGTGCGTTACGTAATATGACAAATCCTTGGATAGTTGGCACATCAAAACGTGAGTTGATTAGTTTCAAGATGAACACGAACTCTCAAAGCTACCAAAATGATTTATCCCTTTCACTTTTGCGTACGCCGTACAGTTTCGTAAGTGCTAACGCGTATCTGTGTTGATGACGATGTGTCATATGTGTCTGTCTGTCCACTGACAGTGGGACATTCCAACCCTCACGTGGTGGCTGCAATAAGTCAACAGGCCGCCCAGCTCAACACCAACAATCGCTACCTCCACCCGAACCTTGCGCGGCTTTTACGGAGGTGAGAAATCCGACGCTGCGACTCAGCCAGGACGAACACTGGATATTAACAATACATCTGACGCAGAGGTATGCATTTTGTGTATACATATTAAACATAGTTGTTAGCCAATTATTTATTAAAGCATCGTATCATTCGGTAAATTCATGCATCCCTCCATCAAAGCTACCATCCTAGAACAACTGACGTTGGTTTGACGTCTGTCGCTTTCTTACAGGTTAGTCCCTACATTCGCGCCTTCAGATTTGACCCGAGTGACCCTGGTCAATTCGGGTTCTGAGGCCAATGATTTGGCTCTACGTATGGCACGAGCTCATACGGGCAATGAAGATATCATAACTCTGAATCAGTGAGTCTCTGAGTGAGCGAATGAATGAATGAATGAATGAATGAATGAATGAATGAATGAATGAATGAATGAATGAATGAATGAATGAATGAATGAATGAATGAATGAATGAATGAATCGAGGAATGAATCTAAATGAGTGAATGAATGAGATAGTGAACTAATAATCTAATCACTCAATTAACTAGTGAGGAAATAAATGACTAGATGAAAAAATGAGGGAATGGGTGAGTGAAAAGCTCAGTTAATGAATTATGATGACGATAAAAGGGTGCGTGAGAGGGGTAGTGGGGGCGTTGAACCAACCGTTTTCTAGGTTTGAAAAATTTCAAATGTTGTTTGCTAAATATTCTTTGAGATTAATAACATATCTATGTACAGTTATAGTGAAGACAGGTCCTATTTAATGCACTACACATCTGAAATTGCTCGTCTTCATGGGCGTATGTCTCGGCCAGTCACGTGACCTACCACCGGTCCTGTGTTGCAGTGCCTACCACGGGCATGTGAGCTCAACGATCGACGTGTCCCCGTACAAGTCTAAGGGTCTGGGCGTTAATTCTCCAGTGGTTTATGAGGTGAGATATACTGTACAGTGGGCACGTAAATATTTGTGACTTGTACGGTATTTGTACAATGTGATATGAAATAATGCAGTAGGATGCTGCGGTAATTTTGTATGTGTGTTGTGGAAGTTGGAACATTTTATCTACCTGTCCATTATGTCTTTATTTCTTGGTAATGTCTGCAAGTGGAAAGTGAGAAAATCACTAAATTGTGCACCAATGTGTAAATAGTGAGAGGATGAGCTCGTTAAAAGTGAGATGAGTAGCAGAATATAGGTATGCGGAAGGCACGTGAAGTGTCAATAAATGTGCATGCGATTCATCGATACATGCGAAGAGAGATGATCGAAATATATTAGAGTGCAAACAGTATTACAGTAGTCGCAGTGCGTATTTAGTACCTATAGTGGTTGCAAACAAAAGGGTGAGGTGGTAGACAAAGCCAGGATGGGATGGCACGCTATTTATATTCCCAACCCGTAAGTGTACAATATGTAACCTGTGATAAGCTGTGATCTGGTATATGCCCTGTGATAATCTGTGATAATCTTAAATACCTGTACTAGCCTGTGACCAGTGATAACATGTGATCTGGTAGGTATGTAGCCAGTGAGCTTACTTACCTACTAACTAACTACCTAACCTGACTAACTGACTAACCTGTGACCATTTGCCCGTCCACAGGCACCGTGCCCGGACATCTACCGTGGCAAATACACGGACCAAACACACCC